CAGCATGCAAATCGTTGCCGGAGTCTTATAAGCTAATGTAGACCCATGATTAATAAACCCCCTCCCCTAAATAGGGATTATAATAGGGATCCTAATATTAAGGCCCTTAAAAGGAGGGGGGTTCATTAATCAGGGGTCTACATTACCAGGAGAGATGGTTAACAGCATGCTGGCCGCCTAAATTCAAGCAAGTACATTCCAAACACATTTCGGGCTCATTTCAGCTGGGCGTCCTTTGTCTCGGAATCCTCCATAATAAGCCATACCTTACACTCATCCCTTTGTTCGAACTTCTAATCAACCCCGGAAGGTGTTTGTATTAATCCCCCTGAACTATAGACCCCAGACCCTGAACAAGAAATACCACGCAAGCATGTATCGTTATATACTGGGAGGAGTATTCATAATTAGAGGGGTGGGGAGGTTTGTTTTTAGGAGGTGGGGTTAATTCGCAGTGGGATCGTATATGCAGCATGCGCTTTTCCTGTACTCGAGTTAGCGATTTCCCAAGATATGGACTCTTACGGTCATGCAGGAGAACATTCAACCCAGTACCCATCACCACCGGTGCCCCGCATGGTAAGGGGGTGGAGATGGATCCCGCCATGTGCAAGCGCCACAAGGCCCTGGGCAAATTATGACCTCACCCGACTTCTCCCCAAATGGTGTTTTCTTACAAGGCAGCAACATGCCCTATCAACTTTCTGAACGCCTGCAAACCCTCAACTTTGCACTAACAAAGCTTCACCCCGAATCCCAACCTTAATCCTCAAACCCTCATCCCTAGTAGTCCAGGCCCTAATCCGAGCTTTGGTTCCCCGAAAGGTGTCAGTAGTTCTGCTTGTCGTATTGCAAGACAGTTTCAGCAGGTCTTGCATGCAGTGCAAACGGAGTAGTATCCAATGTGGGGATACTATGGTACCCAATATAGAGTAAGATTATATCCTCCTTTTGGGGTATAGTATTCTATATAAGGAAAATGATCACTACTCAATTGAGGCTCCCTGTATAACATGATTCCAGATCTCGACAGAACAGATTTTCCTTGCCATCGTGTCACTTCAGAGGTTCTTGTTTATGTTGCACACGGGAACCTTGTGAGGACCACCGAAGCCAAAGACTTAGCCGCCCTAAAACTCCCTAAACCCTAAGCCCTAAACCCTAAACCCCAAAACTCCATTTTTAGGTTCCTTGTTACTTTAGGGGAGGGTGCCTACACCTAAGCAACCTCCAGCTGAGCTTGAGTCTTACATCAGCCCAGTGCTGAAACATACTTTATCTGGGTAGGCCCCTGGGATATTTAATATTTTCCCTAATGGTTTTAATACGGGACCATATATACTAATCTTTTTCAATGGGTTTTAGGGGCCAACCTAGTTATAATGTATTCTCAGAAGACAAGAATTTCAGGTGTTTAGATTCATGATTTTTGGAGCATCTTCGCCGATGCATGGGAACTAAGGCATCATATGAGCTATAGTCTTAACTCCTTAAAGGGGGTTATATAGGGAATAATATAGGGAGCTACTATAGGGGTTATTAAGGGGGATACTAGGAGTTTAGACTATAGCTCATATTCTTCGCACACAATGGCTCGGCGTAGACTTTGGAACAGCGCTGGACCCTTCACAAGCCATGGGGCCGGACAATTATGATTTCAGCCAGGTTATTCTAGCAAACATCCAGAACCCTTCGCATCACGTACAAGTCAGCCCAGCTCTTCAGCAGTGGCTCGAGCCCCAGGCCCCAAAATCTCACCGATACTCAGACACCAAGGCTGCCCGAGAGCACACTGGCTACGCACAGTCTCCAAACAAGTCATCAAATCTGAAGTACAACGCCACAGACCCATTACGTGTAAAGCATTGAACACAGAGGTCAGACTCTTTTGGCTTGTTTCAGCAGCCGGCGCCCGCGCCCAACCTTCCAAGCTTTCGATGGTCAGCTACCCGTAAGAGGCCTGAAGCTAAATACTTGGACGCCGATATTGTTCCCCCATGACCTTTATATAGCTCTCTGTAATCTGGCCCTAAACCCTATTGAAATTAGACAGCCCCCTACATCAGTTGGCCCATGGTAGTCTTAATGGCCCTACGGCAAGGCGAACTTGCCACATGTCCGGCTTCTTTGTCTACAGATATGCAGAGCCACTTGGCCCCACAGCAAGGCAAGGCCCATTTGGGGGAGGATTTAGGGTTTAGGGTTTAGGGGTTTAGGATTGATGGAGAATTTTTTTTGGGAAAAAGACAGGGGTCATACAATGGTTCAGGCTTTGCGTGTTTAGGAATTGGGGGTTTAGGGCTTAAAACATCCCTTCTAAACCCTGAACCCCGAGCCCTGGGCACCTGGCATTTCTCATGTTGGCTGGCCCCAGCCTCTCACATTCCTTACTGTTGCCATTCCCCGCCTTTACCCTTAACCTTCGGATGTTTGAGTTAACTGTTATGTAATACAACGGTGCGTGGTAAGAATCGCAACGTACTGTAAATCCAAGGCGAGAAGGTATCCCTAAACCCTAAACCCTCAACGTTTCGGGTTCAGGCGAGGTACCCTGCATAAGCTCCCAAGACGCAACATCCTTAAGGTAAGGGTTTAGGGTTTAGGGGTTTTCCCCATGTGAATACCGCTATGCCGTCAGGCCTGCTCAGCACAGCCTAAGAACTAAGGAGACCATGCCAAAGATCGTTGGGGCTCTGCCTCCAAGTTTCAGGAGGCCTCAGAATCCTACTTGAGTAGTATTTTATTCGGGAATACTATGGTACGCAATATAGCGTTAGATCATATCCTCCTTTTCTTAATGGCTATTAGTAGCGAATAAGGGAATGTATTATATGGGGCTAACCTAGGGATAATCATATTCCTTCCTTCCCTACTAAGAACCAGTAAGTCTCCGGTTGAGGCCTCAGAATTCTACTTGGCGACGGCGTCCGCGTCTAGATGTGCTGAAGCTTAGCTTGATTTAGGATTTAGGATTTAGGGTTTAGGGTCTCGAGTCTAGGGTTTAGGGCCGCCATGCTGGTTTTAATGGGTTTTAATGGGAACCCTAAACAGGACTTCAAGAATATGGTAGGAATAGAATCGAAATATAAGGACCCGGGTAGGTATAATCCTAATATGTTCTCTGTTCGGGGTTCCCACTTTACTCTCTTTAGGTTTGGGGGCACTTCTTTACTTGCCCTAATGTGGGGGTTCTCAAAATGTCCCTTCTACAATACTGGAGGGAAACCCTGTCATTATCTGTCAGGGTACCGCGCTCTAGCAAATTCCCATGTATTTTCACGACGCAAACGCCTTGTCATCCAAAAGACTGTTCAGAAGAAACCGCGAAAGTCTTGAAACCCCTGTACATCACCAGAGTTTGGGAATTCCCTTAACCCTAGACCTTGAACCTAAACAGCAAACCCTAAACGGGATGCAGGAAGGTCGATCTAGACGGTGCAGACTGTGACTCGCTTATGCTTAGCGCGGAAGACACAGGCTTTATAGATGAGGGGTATGTAGGGGTTGTAAAGGAATGATGGAACAGAGGAAGAAAGCTACTATCTAGGGTTTAAGGTTCAGGGGTTTGGGATATTACCACCAATGATGAAGAATCAAATGCAAGAGAAGATGGATATTGAAATGAGAGTCGGGATGGTATAGGTGTTAAATCCTGCATGACCCTGAGTACCTTATACCTGGGATTGTATCGTACTATAGTATACCGAGGTCATGCGGGGTTTTTTCGATATGAGCAGTACTACTGTTGATAGAGGAAATCTTGCAGTCTAGGATTCTGATATTGATGTTTCTTTAGGCTCCTACATAATCAGCATTGCATTTTCCAGGGTCTGGGGCTGAGTTGCTGAATGGGGGAGTGTAGTCTTGGGATTAGGTGTGGGATGCATATGGGGATTGTATAGGGACCGCTTAAAGGATCCTCCCCCCCATGCGGAACTACACATGAGCTATAGCGTAAACACCTCAAAGGCGACATATAGAGGACAATGTAGGGGAGTGATAGGGCTTACTAAGGGGGATGCTAGGAGTTTAGACCCTAAACCCTAAGCCCGAAGCCCTAAACCCCATACTAAGGGTTCCCAACTACACATGAGTAGTATTTTATTTGGGGATACTATGGTACCCAATATAGAGTAAGATTCCATCCTCCTTTTGGGGCATAGTATTTCATATCAGGAATATAATCTTACTGGGTTCAACCATCAAAAAAAACATTGCTCACATGAGCTATAGTCTAAACTCCTTAGAGGAGCCATATAGGGGAGTATCATAGGGGATTATTAGAGGGCTTATTAAAGGGGATACTAGGAGTTTAGACTATACCTTACATGAGTGAGGTGATGCTGCGTTTGCATTCCTGTCCTCTGTTCCGGCCAAGCTGGTGGTACTGGAGGCGAGCAAAGCAGCTGGATGTTCAACCAGCTGGAAGCAGATATAGGTTAAGGAGTTAAGGGGTTTAGGGTTAAGGGGTTTAGGGTTTAGTGGTTTCTATAGGGACTATATGGGCTTACTGGGAGGATTTCCTGGGACTTGGAGTCCCGAACCCGAAGCCCAGAAACTCGCTTAGATAAGTTTCAGATGTTTTCAGGTGTTCGACGGCCTGCCTCCGCCGCTGCGTTTTGCGCTGCACGAGCACGAGGAGCTCGCATCCTGGGGCAAGCTGCCAGTTTCCTGGAAGTTTTACCCCCAAGAGAATAGTATTTCCGATAGGGATACTTTGGTTTTGCCTCCGTAGTTCTGGAAAAGCTTTTCCTTTTGCCTCAGTGAGTGAAGATTTTCTCGTTTTTCTTCACCAGAATCCACCCCCGAGCACGGAAAACAGCATAACAACCATGATAATGACCCCCAGAAGGCATCCAAAACCGTCAATCACAACCTGTACCAATATAAGCCCAAAGTCCAGTTAACTTTCCTTTCTGTTTCCAGTGGATTCTCCATAATGGCGGTCGTTCATTTATTTATTGTTAGTATTTCTATCATTACTTAACCCTGGATAACCCTCAGTGCAGTTGAGGTCTGGGGCTGCTCACTTAGTTACCAGGTGCGCATGCTGACGCTGCTGCGATACAATCTGATCTGGTATGCGGCAGGCAACGCAATCTATGTCCACAAGTCCGTAGCGCCCCAGCTGGGTTTGTTCCGCTTGGACGAGGTGGACTGCTATGTGAAAACCGTGGTGATGGCCATGTGGCCGAGCGGACGGCGCATGCGGCGTTGGTTCTACGAGGACTCTCTCAACGAGACCCTGGTGGATGCGCGGAGGAGTGTGGAACGCTACCTGAAGGGAAGGCCGTACACGTTGAAGGTCTGAAGCTTCGAGCTCGCAAAAAAAAGACGTTGCCGGACATCCCACCGTGCATCAATCCCTGAGCCATTGCCTAAAGTCGCATCCATTTGCAGCTCGCACACCTCAAACTCTCTAACGCGTTCAAAAAAGCATAGGCCCCAGATTGCACAGTCCATCCATTGAACCTCAGCCTGAACCCCACGCCTAGTTTGGATATTGTGAATGTTTTCAACCCGGCATGGCCCTAGAGGCCCTAATCTCTGGGAATTATAGGAGGTTAGTATAACAAGACCATGCGGGATGCTTAAGTACCAGCCTTACCGGCCTAGCTCGAGTTGCACCGAGCCCCTGAGAGCATACGCCACGAACCAGCATCATCGTCACCCCTAAAGTCTAAACCCTAGAACCCTGAACCCCTAAACCCTAAACCCTAAAACCCTGAACCCCTAAACCCTAAAACCTAAAACCCGCAAAACCCCAAACCCCAAACTTACAAGTCCTGAAGCTTGGAAACCTCCACCCTTCACGATTGGCATGGTAGGTTCCCAGACCCCCAAAAGGATCTAAAAATTAGATCCCCTAGAACCATAGGGTAAAATACATAAGTATTATTTGGGGGTCATAATGGGTCTATATAGGGGATCTAATTTTTAGATCCTCCCAGGGGTTTGGGTTTAGGGTTTGATTAGAGCTTAGGTCATTTTTGCTTTATAGGATCATCGATGATTGTTCTTCTTGTTGTTTTCTCAATCTACATGCCTGCTATCGTGCCTTCCAAACCTGAATCCTCAATCCCAAGTTCCATACCGTAAATCCCAAATCTTAGGACCTCAAAACTGGAGTCCTAAATCCCAAGCCCAAGAGCCAAAACATCTAAATGATCCCAACCAAACCCTAATCCTAAACCCTTCAAGCTCCAAGCTTGAGCATCCGGAAGCCTCCAGGCTCCAGCAAGTAGCAGTCCATCAGATTGTCAAATGTATCCATATTTGCCATGCGCCACTTCATGCGGCGACTGGCCTATAGCTTATGGATGTGCAGGGTCTAGAACCCTAAGCCAGCCTGAAATTCCAACCCTAAACCCTAAGCCACAAAAACTAAGCGGTACGGTGTACGGTGGGTTCAGGGCTTAGCTCGCTGAGCACTTAGGCCCCGTAGCACGGATTGAAGCCCAGGGCTTGTAAGGTTGTGGGCTGAGGGTTCAGGGCTTCTCGGGTTATGTGGTCCCATGGGTGAAGATGGCTTCCCTTTACCCAACTAAGGAGTTGCAAGTGGTGATGGGTTTTGGGTATCGCATGCTGTGGATGGGGGAAATCTTGCATCATGCAGGATCCCCTCGAAGACTGAGAATTCTAGGGTGTAGTGGTACTTAAGGTAGTGCCGGAATTCCTGCATTACCGGTAGTGGCCACATCAAGTGGTTTCAATTGGGAAGACGTATATCCACTACTGATGCGCAGTCTGCCTGAAGCCTTCCTCACCACCGCTCCAAAGCCAAGTATTTTACGGAAGTCCTGCGTTCATGGGTTCCCCTGCTACATGCCCCCCTATGCTTACCCCCATGTCTCCGCCCTAATTAAGGTTGCGTCATCCTAATTAAGGCTAATTACGGCGGATTCACGGGCGGGTGGGGGGATTTGGAACCCATGATATGCGAGAGATATGAGCTATAGTCTAAACTCCTAGTATCCCCCTTAATAACCCCTATAGTAAGTAGTCCCCTATA